AGGAGGCGGAGGTTGTGGTGAGCCGAGATTGCGCCATTGCACTCCAGCCTGGGTAATAAGAGCGAAAACTCCATCTCAAAAAAAAAGCTATTTATGACAAACCCACAGCCAGTATCATATTGAATGGCAAAAACTGGAAGCATTCCCTTTGAAATCTGGTACTAGATAAGGATGCCCTCTCTCACCACTCCTATTCAATATAGTATTGGAAGTTCTAGCCAGAGCAGTCAGGCAAGTAGAAGAAATAAAGGGTATTCAGTTAGGAAAGGAGGAAGTCAAATTGTCTCTATTTGCAGATGACATGATTGTATCTTTAGAAGACCCCATTGTCTCAGCCCAAAATCTCCTGAAACTGATAAGCAACTTCAGCAAAGTCTCAGGGTACAAAATCAATGTGCAGAAATCTCAAGCATTCCTATACACCAATAACAGACTTAAAGAGAGCCAAATCAAGAATGAACTGCCATTCACAATTGCTACAAAGAGAATAAAATACCTAGGAATACAACTAACAAAGGATATAAAGGACCTCTTCAAGGAGAGCTACAAAGCACTGCTCAATGAAGTAAGAGAGGACACAAACAGTTGGAGAAACATTCCATGCTCATGGTTAGGAAGAATCAATATCGTGAAAATGGCCTTATTGTCCAAAGTAATTTATAGATTCAACACTGTCCCCATCAAGCTACTAACGGCCTTCTTCCCAGATCTGGAAAAAACCACCTCAAACTTCATATGGAACAAAAAGAGAGCCCACATAGCCAAGACAATTCTAAGCAAAAAGAACAAAGCTGGAGGTATCATGCTGCCTGACTTCAAACTATACTACAATGCTACAGTAATCAAAACAGCATGGTACTGGTACCAAAACAGAGATATAGACCAATGGAATAGAACAGAGGCCTCGGAGGCAATGCCACACATCTGCAACCATCTGATCTTTGACAAACCTGACAAAAATAAGCACTGGGGAAAGGATTCCCTATTTAGTAAATGGTGTTGGGAAAACTGACTAGCCATGTGCAGAAAGCAGAAACTGGACCCCTTCGACATCTTACACTAAAATTAACTCCAGATGGATTAAAGACTTAAAAATAAGACTTAACACCATAAAAACCTTAGAATAAAACCTAGGCAAAACCATTCAGGACATAGGTATAGGGAAGGACTTCATGACCAAAACACCAAAAGCATTGGCAGCAAAAGCCAAAATAGACACATGGGATCTAATTAAACTCCAGAGCTTCTTTCTGCACAGCAGAAGGAACAATCATTAGAGTGAACCGGCAACCAATGGAATGAGAAAAAATTTTTGCAATCTATTCATCTGACAACTGACTTATATCCAAAATCTACAAAGAACTAAAGCAGATTTATAAGAAAAAAAACCCATTCAAAAGTGGGCAAAGGATATGAACCGACACCTTTCAAAAGAAGACATATATGAGGCCAAAAAACTTATGAAAAAATGCTCATCTATGATGTTTGTTGTGGGCTTTTAATAAAACAAAATGCTCATCATCACTGGTCATTAGAGAAATGCAAATCAAAACTACATTGAGATATCATCTCACACCAGTTAGAACGGCGATCATTAAAAAATCTGGAGACAACAGATACTGGAGAGATGTGGAGAAATAGGAACAGATGCTTGGTGGGAGTATAAGTTAGTTCAACCATTGTGGAAGACAGTGTGGCGATTCCTCAAGGACCTAGAAATAGAAATTCCATTTGGCCTAGTAATCCCATTACTGGGTATATACCCAAAGGATTATAAATTGTTCTATAATAAAGACATATGCACACATATGTTCATTGCAACACTGTTTACAACAGCAAAGACCTGGAACCAACCCAAACGCCCATCGATGATAGACTGGACAGGGAAAATGTGGCACATATACACCATGGAATACTATGCAGCCATCAAAAACGATGAGTTTGTGTCCTTTGTAGGGACATGGATCAACCTGGAAACCATCATTCTCAGCAAACTGACACAAGAACAGAAAATCAAACACCACATGTTCTCACTCATAGGTGGGTGTTGAACAATGAGAACACATGGACACAGGGAGGGGAGCATCGCACATTGGGGTCTGTGGGGGGTGTCTAGGGGAGGGAGAGTGGAGGGGTAGGGAGTTGGGGAGGGATAACATGGGGAGAAATGCCAGATATAGGTGATGGGGATGGAAGGAGCAAACCACATTGCCATGTGTGTACCTATGCAACAGTTCTGTATGTTTTACACATGTACCCCAGAACCTAAAGTGCAGTGAAAAAATATATATTATTTGTGTGTGTGTGTGTGTGTGTGTGTGTGTGTGTATAAAATAAAGTGGGAAAAAAGAAAAATAAATGTTGCGGGCATTCCAGTGCAAAAGGTTCCTTAGGAAATAGTCAGAACCCAATAACTCCACATACAGTTTTTGATTCAGGGTCTTAGAAATGTTCAAAGCAAGTAAATTTAGGGAGGAAGTATTAAGTGCCAACTTTGGTTCTTGCTTGCATGACATCAGCAAAATGAAAGGGAAATAATAATAGATTTTGTTAATAATTCAAGGCAGTAAAGAAAATATGATGTGGGAAAATGAAGGCATTTGGAGTTCAAGCTGAGTCTGAATACTGCCGTTGTTGCTTAACAGCAGCATGCCCCTGGGAAGAGGAAAGCAGGGAACATTTATCAAGTACCTGTCATGTGCTAGGTGCTTTGCATGTCTTCATCTCGTAATTGTTGTAATGAGCTTCACTGATATATACAGTATCATACCCACTTTAAGATGAGAAACTGGAAGTTCTGAGAAGATAAGCATCATTTGTCTGGTGTGTGACCAGCCAGGATTGGACCCTGGGGCTGACACTGCTCCCTTTCCGGGTGTTGTCTGAAGTGGAAATAAGACCACAGTGTCTGAGTTAAAATCACACATGCATGCATGCACACGTGTACACACACACACACACACACACACACACACACACACACACGACTTCTGCTATTTATTCAAAAATTCAGGAAAAATACAAAGGGAGCAACTGTCAGCTAGAAATTGGGCAACAACCATGCCTCAGTCCTGGAACATTAGTTTTATGAGTTGGGTTTTATATTTTATTATAAACCCATACTTTTCCAGGGCCTGCTTTGTGATCCACTGGGGAAGGAAGACTTTGTCTTCACAAGCAGCCTTTAAAAGGGCAATAATAACATATATTTGCAAAGTGATTCAAGTATGTGTTTTAAAGAGAGGGAGATAGTACATGTAACTGAGGTAGGTCAGACATATATTTGAAACCAAACACTGGGTGCGGTGGCTCATGCCTGCAATCCAAGCCCTTTTGGAGGCTGAAACAGGAGGATTGCTTAAGGCCAGGAATTTGAGATCAGCCTGGACAACACGGTGAGACCCTGTCTCTACAAAAATAAAAATTAAAAAAAGAAACCAAGTGCAAATACATGTTATCAGAACAAGGAGAATCATAGTAAACAGCTGTAACTTCTACAGCTCAAAGAGATTCATCTCCACTTTTGAAAAGGAGTCACAATATTCATCCAAGAGAAAGAAACCTCTTTGTTAAAATGGATGTGGTGAGAATTACATGAGATGACATAGGTGAAGTGCCCTGTCCAGCACCTGCCATGTGGGAAATTCTTGCTAAATGGTAGCATCGGTGAATTTTGTTGTCATTAATATTACTTGAATCTAAGTTGTAAGTATGTGAAGAACATGGCAGGCTTAAGATTGTTTGTTTTTTCTTGTGTGGGTGACCTTAAGGACAGAAGTGAGGCACCATACGGTCCCTGGCTGATTATTCTGTGTTCCCAAAAGTCCAGGGCATTCATCTTGTGACCAGGAGCTGTTGTTGCCTTTAGCCAGGCTCCCTCTAAGCCCCTGTTTATGGCTGATAGTCAGGTCCTAAGGTGTGTTTGACAGGTATGGCCTATCAGACGTGACTGCAAGAAGCCAGTTTTGCCTTGGCTGTTTCAATGCTCCCTTCCCTCACTTTCCTAGGAGACCCCTGATCAACGTCTATTGCAGCTGCTGGGCAGCTGCTTCTTACTAAAGAAAGATCTTATGAAAACTCTAGGTGAATGGCAAAAAACCAATGCTATTAGTCATACTGAGACCTAGTAGGAATTAAAAGGAGGTCTTGTAACTTGTAGGTGGAGAACTTTAGAATCTGCTACCTTTCCTCCAGGCTCTGTCAGGGCTTCTCAAGGCACACACTGAGAATGCTGGGCATTTGGATGATGGCTTCGTCTTGGTCCATTTTTGTAGCACCAAGTAATCCTGTTAGTTTGCTCCTGTTATGTCCAGCTTTCATCCCTTGCCTAGAGCCAGCTTTACTGATAAATAAAATTTAGATAATTCAGTTCTTCAAATTATAATGTTAAACCTAGTGGAAAAAAATAGACGAGGCCCCTGAACAAGATATTAAAGGGGACCTCTCCTCCTGCCTGCTTTTGGTTGTATGAGTGATGGGAGGGGCCAACTTCAGGACAGAATCTGAGGTCATCCCAGAAGCTTCTCTGGTTGCAGTAGCCTTCGACTGGGACTTTGCCTCACACCAGGAATGGTTGATGTCATGTGACCAGTGAAAGCTGAGATTTATTTTTAAGCTAGATTTTAAGTTAGCCTGGAGCCCTGGCATCACGACTGTGGGGGGATGAGTTCAGCTGATTAAAACATTTCTGTGCCCTTTCAGACAATTTGCATTGTAAGAAGGACTTCTGGTCTTAGAGAAGCTGGGAGAGTGGCAGTGGATTTCTTTTGGCACAGAAATCCTGGGAAACATGGCCAGAGTTGTGGAGAAAAGTATTCCATTATCACCCTCACTTCTATTAGCCCCAGGCTGCACCATCACCTACAAACCCAGCCCTCCTTTCCACTTGGTGACGATGGGAACAGCCTTACCCACCTTCATGTCCCTGTTCCCATTCGATCCCCTGGTGTGTTTTGCATCCCGACTAGAATCATTGTTGAAATTCATTCTGTGCTTCCTAGGAACTAGCCAGCTGTGGATGGAGTAAGAAGGAGAAACACAGTCTTGCCCCTAACGTTGTGGCCTTTACTCGGAGGTTTAACCAGGTAAGCAACACCCTTGCATGTGCCTATCCAGAGAGTAATCTGCTGCTGTCCCCTATGGGCTGCGAGCGCTCCCCCCCCCACCCAGCTGTCTCCCAAGCACCTGGCCCCAGATTCTCCTGCTTTCCTGCTTCTCTTCTTGAGTACCCACCTTTATCCAGTTTTGTGCCATTATAGTCCATTTTCACAAAGTAGATGGAACTGAGCATGCCTTTCCTATGCTTAAATCACTTCAGTGACTTCCAGTTTCACTTAAGCTAAGGTTCAGTTACCTAATATGCTTTGCAAGATTCAACATGGTGGGTCTAGCTTCTTTCCACCCCTGCAGCCTCATCTCTTTTCCCTTTTCCTGTCCTGCCTTCTCTTAGCTGATATACCTTATCTCTGTCCTGTCAGGCTCCATGTGTACTGTCTTCACAGCCCAGAATCCTTCCTCCCTGTTCAACTTCCAATCAGATCTCAGCCTGAATATCATCTCTTCAGGAGTCTTCCCTGAATCCCCAGCCTCTATGAGGTCACCTGGTCGCACATCCCCACGTTGTACCCTGTACTCTGTGTGGTCCTTTATTAGTCTGTCCTCATGTTGTATAACTCTGTAGTCTTTACCTTCATTGCTGTCCTGGGAGGCCCATAAGCATGTCTATCTTGTTCATCACTGTGTCTCCCACCATCTTGCCCCATGTCAGGCATATCATAGAGCTTCATTAACTATATATGGAACGAATAGATGAGGTGCTCGGGAAGTACTTTTTAAATTGAATTTCCTTGAATTCCTGATGGCCTGGTCCCTGGCCCTGCCCTACTTTAAACTGACTTGGTCCAACCAGAACCTGTGCTTCAGGTATGAAGATCTGGAATGACAATTGGAGACTTGGATCAACTGAGGGAGGTAGGGTATATTTCTCAGCCAGACCTGCATGATCTTCAAGAGAAAGCACCCAAACCAAAGCCTCAGGTTGTACTGTTGACAAGTTTTCTTCGTTCTTATTTTTCTGGTTTCAAATGAGGCCAGTGGCTTAGAGGTTGCGTAGCAGGTATGACTTGCCCTATGGTTGATGGGTTCCCTTTGGACCCTCCCTCCAGCGGGGCCTTCTGTCTCGGAAATGCTTGGTCTTGTGCATCACTGTTGCTCAACCCTCTCCAGGCTTCGTCAGCCTTGAACTTCCTCCCCAAGTCCAGCGGGATCCTCAGAGGGGCACCAGCTTGTAGTTTGAAGATTGAGTCTGGAGTTGGCATTATTATTATTTGATGAGATCTAGTAGGAACCAAGAAAGACCTAGGTGCATCTGGAATAGGGGCTGCACACTGTTTGTTTTGAAAAGAGAAGTTCCAAAGCCTTTTGCTTCTTTTTTCATTGTTTTGAAAAATCGTCTCTTTTCAACTGAGCTCAGTCTTTCGGAAAAAAAAAAGTGTGAGAATTTTGTCAGGGGATTCATAGTTTCCTCAGCAAACTATTTGACTGCGTGCCAACTCAGTCCCCACCTCTGACCAGCCATAGAGCTCCCAGAGGAGGGGCTGCTGGGGGCTCTGATGTAATGTGCTTTGCATGCGGATGCCAGGTCAGCTTGGCAAAGGCAATGTAGTTTGTTCTATGAACAATTGCATTGTATCCAGCTCAGACCAAGTGATGAAATGAGCCAGAAGCAAGGTCACATTTTTTTTTTTTTCAAACAGTGCTCTGGGAAATGGTCTTTCTGCTGGGCCATCAGCCCCTCAGAGAGGCAACAACTCCTGGCCAAAGCCCTGGTAGCTCTGGTTTGAAAACTGGCCAGAGGCCAGGCCTGGTCAGCCATTGGGGCTGCCTTCTTTGAGATGAAGTCGTTGGCGTCCCTTCCTGGCAGAACTTTTTTATGTGATAACAAGACTGTTCAGACTCCCAAGTAAAAGAAAGCTTACCTGTCTGAGCTTCAGCTTCCTTTTCTGTAACTGAGAATAATAGTAGTACTCTCCTTGCACAATTGTTATGAAGAATAAATGGAATATGAAGAGCTTTAGCACAATGTCTGGCATGTAGTAAGCATCCAGCTGTTTTGGGAGAAGACAAGAGAAATGTGAAGATCAGCTGATTGGGAGGAGGTTGCCAGGGGATTTGAGGCTTCTTGTGGCCAAACAGAAACCCAGAGGCTAGTGCTTGCCTGCTTCTCCCTGGCATCAGAGTCCCTTGGAATTTGCTCAGAGAGTGGCTGAGATGGAAGAGTTTGGCCAAGTTCACTAAAGGTCTTTTCTGAGCCAGGCCTATGTTACAACGCCAGGGAATACACCATGTAGCACAGAAGTTGTCAAGTCTTTTTTGGGTCATGGGTTCTTTTGAGAATCTATCACATATGAATGTTACCTTAGAAAAAATGCACAGATATACAAATTTGCATTTAATTTTAGGGTGTTCACTGCCGTCCTGAAGTTTATGTATGGACATTTATGGGTCTGTGGACAGTAGGCTGAGAAACTGTGATCTCAGGGAGTCCAGCAGGCCTGGGTTTGAGTCTTACCTTGACAACTTTGCTGTATGATCTTGGGTTAGCTTTTGGCCTCACTCAGCCTCATTATCCTTATTTATAAAACAGGAAGAATCATTTCAAGTGGTTTTTGAAGACTAAACAAGAATCATGAATATAAATGGTAAACATTCCATGTAAGCTTAAACAAAGGGGGCAGAGTAATGGGAGCTGTGAGCTGAAAGGAAGTTTAAGACCAGACCAAGAGGTTTGGGCCTAAGTGCAAGGTTGGGCTTGTATCACAAAGACGCTGAACATTTTGGAAAAGGTGAAGAGGGAATTGGGAAAAACTTGGTTCTAGTCTAGGCTCTGCTGCTAACCTCCTTTAAGGCCCTTCCTCTCTTTGGGTCTCAGGACCTTTTTATATTCATGGAGATTGGACAGGGCCAAATGTTCACAGCTTTTCTCATGGACACATTTGTGTAGTTCCTAAAGACTGAAACCCCAGCTCAAGCTCATGTAAGCACAAAAGAGAGCTTTATGGCTTATGTATAATAACTAAGTCTAGGGAGATACTGACTTCAAATATGCTGAATTTAGGCAGCAGGGACAGTACCATCCGAACTTCGTCTTGCTCTCTTCACCTCCAGGTTCCGCTTACCTCTGAGCTGGTTCTACCTCAGGTAGCCTCCCAGTGTGGTTGCAGGATGGCTAGCAACAATTCTAGGCTTGTATCATATTCTGAGGGCAACCCCAGGAGAAAAGACCTGCTTCTTTTTCAGTAGCTCTATCTGATGTCCTGGAATTGAGACTCAGTGGTTCAGATTGCCCTGGCTTGTGGCCCATCTTGTTTGTTATGATCTAATTACTCTGACCAGAAAGACATGAAGCTCTGATTGGCCAGGCCTTGGGAAACAGACCTTCCTATGGAGGAGAGGTGGTGGGCCTCGGTCACATGCACTGAGAATGGAGGAGGGGTCTTTCCTCAGGGAAAATCTGGGTGTTCTGGAAGGAAGAAGCTAAGAATGAGGGCCAGAAAGGAAGACAGATACCTGTCATAGATCCTCTTTTCTCTTGTCCTCTTCCAGTCTGCTTTGAGCTTTCTGCCTGATCCATTCTGTTGATACCTTGTCACTCTCAAGTCCTGCCTGCCCTCTGAACTCCCATGCTCATGAGCCTAGTCACTGAATGTTCCTGCTTCCTCATGGCTCTCATGGCTTTAGTCAAAACTATTTTAAAAACATTTATTGAGCACTTATGCTGAACTTGTTGAATCAAATACTATGCTAAGCATTTTACCCATGTTATCTAATTCTTTTTTCACGTGCCTAATGAGATAGATATTTTACACTCATTTCATATATAAGGAAACCGAGGCTCTGGAAAGGCTGGAGTGTAGTGGTGTGATCTCAGCCTCCTGCAACTTCTGCCTCCCAGATTTGGCTCACTGCAACCTCTGCCTCCTGGATTTAAGCAGTTCTCCTGCTTCGGCCTTCAGAGGAGCTGGGATTTATAGGCATGTGCCACCACGCCCAGCTAATTTTTGTATTTTTAGTGGAGATGGGGTTCCACCATGTTTGCCAGGCTGGTCTTGATCTCCTGACCTCCTGATCTGCCCACCTTGGCCTCCCAAAGTGCTAGGGTTACAGGCATGAGCCACTGTGCCTGGCCAGATTTTCAATTCACTGGGTATATGCCTAGGAACACAAGCTAGATTTTCTCTGTCCCATTTTGTATTCTCACCAGCAATGTATGAGTATATGGCTTCAATCCTTGCCAGCAATTGATATTTTCAACTTTTCTGTGTTTTAGGCATTCTAATATATGTGTAGTAATCTTGCTTTTCTCTGCTTTATCCAGACCACTCTTGGACAGTTATGTCTGGTTCTGGATACCTCACAGGAGGGGTGAGGGTGGGAATTATCTCACAGGAGTGGCATGTAAGTATTACAGTGACTAGAAGAGTGAGGGGAAAGAAAACATGTTATACAGGGATAGGTGGAAGATCTGTGAGTGAGAAGACTCAGGGAGGAGGTTTTCAAGCAATTGAGGAGTTCTTGATGGGGAAGCTGGATTAAACATAATCTATGGGGCCTGATCAATAAGTGCAGGACCCAGGGGTTGGAAATGTGGAGGCAGTTGGCCTTTTCCAAATATAAGGAAGTTCCCTAACCAGGAAGGCTCAGGCTGAGACCAGACAAGGGCTTTATTAGTGTAGAACACCATCCAACTGTCAGGGCAGGGAGAAAGTGGGACCTCTAAGATTCTTTCAAACTAAGCTCTTGGTTTCTAAGAAAACTGTGAATGGGCTTCTGAGAAGTTTGTGGCAAAAGTAGGCTTTTCATAAGAAATAATAGTATTTTTAAACCTGGATTTTTCTTTCTTTTTTTTTTTTTTGTTTGTTTTATTCTTTGATTGTTTTTATTTGTGGTTGGTTAACCAAATAAAGTTTTCTGTGTCCATAGCTATTCTGGTTTTTTAAAAAAAAAATATATATTTTATTGCACTTTAGGTTCTGGGGTACATGTGCAGAACATGCAGGATTGTTGCTTAGGTACCTGCATGGCA